CTGAGAAGTACAGATTGGTAATTACAAAATAGTCATGGGGAAGTAAAGTACAGCATAGGGAGTACAATCAATAATATTGCAATAACTATGTACGGGGCCATAGTACTTGAAGAATAGGGGGAACACTTTGTAAAGTATGACTGTCTAACCACTATGTAGTACACCTGAAACTAACACCAAATAACATTAAATGTAAACTGTAGTTGAAAAATTTTTAAAGGGAGGGGACTCCACTAGGCCTGAGCTAATGAGGGTTTGAATTATGTGGTGGACTATGGGAAGTGGGCAGTGGAAAGGAAGGGCCAGATAAACGATCTGACCTTGGCCCCTTTTCTGTGAATGCCCAATCACACCATTTCTCCCCTCCCTCCTTCTTCTTCCTTCCTTCTTTAAAAAAAAAAATCATATGTCTTATTTTATGACCAGTCTTATTCACTTAGGTTTCCTTCAGAACCTTTCATAAGTGGCTTACACTTAGCAGGTGCTTGACAACTATTTGTTGAATTGCAACTGGTGGCTGATTAGAAGTGGGGCAAGGACTAAAAATAAACAAGGGTTCAAGCCTGGGTGGTAAGAGAAAAGAGAATGCCAGGGAAAGCTGCTCAGGTTCAAAGTCAGGTTGAATTTGAGCTCCTGACAGGTTATCCAGCTGACTTGAAATCTTGGGATATAGCTAGTAGGGAGATATTTTTAAAAAAATATTAAAAAAAATTGATTTCAGACAGGAAGAGAGAGATACAAACATCAATGATGAGAGAGAATCGTCGATTGGCTGCTCCCTGCACACCCCACACTGGGGATGGAGCCTGCAAACCCAGCATGTGCCTGAGCGGGAATCAAACTGAGACCTTCTGGTTTATAGATTGATGCTCAACCACTGAGCCACACTGGCCGGCCAGGCAAGAGAGGAATTTTAAGGTGCATCCCCACCCTCACTTCCACTCAAGCTGAGGAGATAGTGGCTGTGTTTAAGGGTCAAGTTTTGGTTTGAGATCATATTTTGGTCTGCCACTAGCTGAATACCAAGTTAGTCAGTCTCTCTGAGACTCACCTATGAAAGTGGGATACAGTAGTATTCTATAAGGTGGTTGTCAAAGCCAAAGGTGAGGTAAAATGTATTAATATACCATCTGGGATAAGTAATAGTTCTAGTTATTAGTTATTATTGCTATTATTTTTAAATATATATTTTATTGATTTTTTACAGAGAGGAAGAGAGAGGGATAGATAGAAACATCGATGAGAGAGAATCATCAATCAGCTGCCTCTTGCACACCCCCCACTGGGGATGTGCCCGCAACCAAGGTACATGCCCTTGACCGGAATTGAACCTGGGACCTTTCAGTCTGCTGGCCGATGCTCTATCCACTGAGCCAAACCGGTTTTGGCTATTATTGCTATTATTAAGGTTAGGGGAAGGAGCATAAATCATGTCACTCCTGAGTAAGGCTATCCATGGCTTCATGTTGCACACTGAATGAAAGGCAGCCTCCTGCCCTGGTCCCCTCAGACAGGAGCTATCAAGCCCCTGCCCACCTCTCTCCCATCACCCCCTCACCCACACTGTGTTCTGCCTGGTCATCCCCTAAAAGTGACAAGATGCTTTGCTGCCTCAGGATTTTTTCATCCACTCTTTGCTTTGCTTGAAAGGTTCTTTGTAAAATCTTGTATGTCTGGCTTTACTGGAGGGAGGGTAGCAGGGGTATGTATATACTATGCAATCATTCACATGAAACCTAAGTGATCTTAAGTTTCCCATTGTCTTCTCTGAGCCTGACTTTGCCCATCAGAACAATGAAACTGGATTAGATCATCCCTAAGGTTTTCTCTGTAACACTTTGTAAACTTAAGGAGGTAAAGTGTGGCTTTAGATTATTAGACTGCACCAAGAATCAGGTCTTTAATTTGCCCTGAAGTCAGAAAGGCCCTAATGGTTCTCCTGGAACAGCAGCCTGGGGTTGCAGTTTTTAACATCTGGAAAGGCAGTCACGGAGGCTGTCCCGTCACATTGCCTGCTGCTGTGTAAAAAACTGCTGGGTGTCAGTCTCCATCCACTGGGGGGAAACACTGCCCCAAAAAAACAAAACAAAAACTCCACCTTCTTCTGCCAAGGCTTTGGGTGGAGCTAGAAACACTGTTTATGACAACACTGAGTCAGCACATTCATCAGGGTCAAGCTCACAGTGAAAAGGAACTGGAAGAGGCGCTGGTTGAGAAGAAACCTCCAGCTGAGGCCTCTTTAGTATCAAAGGAAATGGAATCAGAATGTGCAAGTTCATAATGGAGATAGCAGGGGAATGAGGCATAATGTTCAAAGTGTTAGAGCTCATATTAGTCTTCCCCAAGTATTGAATTTATGGACTTTGTCACCCCAACAGATAAAAGCTCAAAACTGGTTTTCAAAAGTTGCAAAACGAATTATGTGAAAACAGGCTCTTTTGAAGTTATGTTGACACTACTGAGGCTATGTCGGCAAGGACAGCTGGGTTCTTGCAAAATGTATACGTTGGGATTTGTCAGATTTCTGGGCCTGGAGTGCTCATGGATATGACCCGAAGTGACACTTATGTGCATTAAGTATCAACATTCCTTCTCCTAACAGGATTATTTTGTTGCCTGACTCCCCAGGGTTAAAACGAGGATCCTTGGCTGGCCTCTGAAAGCACTGACTTCTTTATTAGCCTCTGAAAACATGCAGCTGCTTCTCCTGTCCAAGGGCAAATATACTGAGAACTCTTGATATTTCCCTGTAAGACAGGAAATGACAGTATAGGCATAGCTGTGGGGACTGCAACAGTCATCTGGGCCCAGAGACATAAGGCTCCCTCCTCAGTTCTTCCTCACCAAGATCACACTTAAGATTTTTCACACAACATATATTTATTCAGAAAAAAATTTGCAATAAATTATAATAAAAAAAGAGGACACAAAATACAGAATCCCACTAGCAGCTTTGCTTAGTGACCAAAACATGTTTGAGAAATGTAACAATTACAGAACAAGAATCAGAAAACAGTGAAAGGGAGACTAATGCAACATTACCACATAAGTTTGAACTGTTTCTTCCCTAAAACCAAAGATGCAGTCCTTCCCTAACAGATCTGAACTCCTTACTTCATAGGTGTTATGGACTTGTACGTTGGAGGTACTTAGGAATCAGAGGTCGGGGTGCTAGACGCACCATAGGGAGGCAGATCTATTATGTCTGCTCTATTTCTTGTCTCCCCTACCTAGAGATTGTCTAAAACTCTCAATCATGCGTACATCTCAGGACCAGAATTGGAAAAAAAAAAAAAAAAGACTGAGGCAATGAACTAAGTGCATTTGCCTTATGAGGAAAAAGCTAGGAGGCTGCACACAGTTCCCAGGTCAGGCACTGCTCTTTCTTTGTGTTATGACCTTGCCACACCTCTATAATATGACTCACCTATAATCGCTTTCTGGCCTAGTAGAGATGACAAAAGTGTTTTGTTCAGCATCTTCCATTGACTACACCAACACCTAGCCTTTAACTTATCAGATCCGCAGCTATTTGGTACCAATAATTTGATTCTTAGTACCATAAATCCCAGACAGGAAAGGGTTTAACCAGTCTATTACAACATATGAATGTTTTCTTTCCCCAAAAAACTCAAGTTAGATGGTGGAACTGGAGAACCATTCAGCTGTGCTGTTTCTCTTGGTTTTCTCCTTTGACATGCCAAAGTTAGGAGTCAATGCCTAACACTGGACACAATGCCTGTTCATTAGGCTCCTCAGATTTAATAGTAACAGGCAAGAATAAGTTAACTCAGGGTGGTTTTAATGAAAGAAAACCAAAATGAAGCCACTGTATAAGGTAGTTTTGCAGTTCGTGGCTGATTTGCCAACTGCCATAGATTAAATTTTTTTTGAGAGATTGAGTAAATGAAGAGTGTCAGAGGGTTGTCTTGAGTGGCAGAGAAAGGTGCTTAGTTGGCCCCACTGCACAATCTTTCCTAAACAGAACTGAACAAAGTGGCTGGGAGCCAAAGGGAGCTGGCTGTACAGTGCAGTCAGCCTTGATGAGGGATGGCCCCTTGTACATCAGGGTTCCCAGAATTATCCTCAATCCTCAGTACTCTTTCGGGTTGGGGGGGAGAAATATCTCCAAAAAGGCCTGCCTGAGGTGCAGACTAGCTTTTTTAATGTGGTGTAAGTGTTTCAAAGTGGGAGATAGCTCCCATAGTTCTCATGTAAAATTTGAAAAAGAGAAGGGATAGTAGGAAGCAGGACCTGTCAAACATGAGTGTTTTCACTTGTGAACACTCCAATAGTTTCCACTCTGATTCTCTCACATCAATGGAATGTTATTTCTAATAGTCTCTAAAGTTCTGCTACAAAATGAGGTCTGAGATAAGAAAATATGGTTCCACTCAGTGCAGATCCATGAAAAGGCCAATGTTACAGAGACATATGGATACCACTGTAGTAGAAATGCACAAATGCATGTAATAAAAACAAGCAGAACATTAACTCACTGTTGGGGACACCCAAGGAGTCACTAGCCTCACTCTGACTTCCTTCGATGTGATAGCACTAGTAGAGTGCAAAGAGGGGGTGGTAGGGCAAAAGTGCTTTAGAAGAAGGACTACACACAAGTCTGAGCAACACCAAGTAGTGCTTGTAGGCCTAGAACAGGAACATCACAGAATCTAGGCCTAGGGTGCTAAGGACAATCATGACAACTGCGCAGGGGACAATAAACACATCCCCAGGAAAAGGAGTGTAAATACAGAACTCTTTGTCTTATAAAGAGAGAACACAAAAACACCAAAATATGGTAACTTTGGCTTGGCAATATAAGTCTAATAGTATTTTACTGATATGGCAAGGGAGGGATTAGGAAACTCTTCCTTTTTCATGCCACAACATTCTGCAATAGACCCTTCCTGTTACATGACTTTGCAAATCACTCTGAAATACTTGGTGTCCAAGATCTTCCACCTCCAGAAGCTTGGAGAGTAGTTAAGAGAAAGGGCTTATTGGTCTTCATCGCCTCCCAACAGGAAACCCAAAAGAAACTGGCTAGCACGCTGGCGGTCACTTGCAGTCTGTCTTGCCAACAAGTTAGGTGGAGGCCTTAGAAGAAGACTTGTGAAGAGAGTAGCTACAGGGCATGGGAAAGAAAAGGGAAAACTCCTGTCAGCAAAGCCTCAGGGATGGGGGTGGGGGTCAGAAGATAGGGGCAGTGGGAAGGAAGTGACTATCTTGTGCTTGGACAGTAAGGACATTCTGATTAACATCCACTGTGGCCATTCTTATTAGGTAGTCTTACCGATCATGTTGGCACTGACATTGTTGTATTCAGAGAATTTTAAGAGTTCTCGAAGGAATGCCATCAAGTAACGGAAAACATTTCTATGGCATCTTGGAAGCTGAGAAATCACCTGTTTTTTTTTTTTAAAAAAAAAAAAGGGGGGGTAGGTAGTGAGAACAGTTGGAAGAAGGGAGTAAGAAGAGCCCAAGGCTGCAATAAAAGTAGTTTATAATCCAATCTTTACAGGACCCCATTCATCTGTCACAACCCTCCTTGATTTACTCATGACCAACACAGTACCCATTAATAATTTCCAAATCAGAATGGTCATATTATTTGGCCCCTGTCCACTCAATGACCAGGCCATGCCATCATCACACATTCACATGCATACCTCACATCACAAGCAGGTCGGTGTTAATCTTGTCTTTTCTCATTTCCTCATGATGGGAAAATGACAGGTACCCATGGCATCTGTTAAGCTGAATAGTTTCCTCAGCCATGTAATTTAGCATGGATGGGAGCTCCTCCCAATACTCCCTAATCTAATTCAGAGGTATTCTCAGCTATTGCTACACCAAGCAGATAAAAAGAAGGCTCAACAAGCAGTGTCAGCCAGAATCCCATGTATGATCAGCTTCCATAAGCTCATGCCACCCTACTCAATGGGCCAACTGGAAGAGGGTACAAAATATAATAGGAAACAATACAACCTAAAATTTAAGGGCCCCAACTCTCAATGCTGGTGGCAAGCCATGAAAAACAGATCCAAACCTGTCTTACCATGTACCTGGCTACTCATCTGGTTTTGTAAACTCAATGGTTTCTTTATGGGGGAGCCTGCCCCAAACACATCTCAGAGCAATAAAACTTACCTGTCTGCAAACCCGGGGATCCTGAGCAGAGTCAAGGCATCGCTGATACAGTTCATAACAAATAACAGGCTCTGGCAGGGCTTCCAGGAAAATGAGGAGAGCTTCAGCCACAGAATGATTACTGCCAGCTGGATAGACTTAAGTTAAGGGAAAGGAACTGCAGGAAAAAGGATACACCTGATTTGCTCCTCTCAACAACTGCTCTCTTCCTCTTATTCAGGGCATACTGATCCTACTAGGGGCTTGATTATTTTATTTGTCCATGTACACTGTAGCTGAGTTGTGACAAAATTTATCAGACTCTTGGGAAGTTTGGGCCAACTTTAGAGTCAGGGGAATATAGCCTGCAGAATGACAATCCACACTGTATCAGGCCCGGAAACTAGCCCCATCCTCCTCCCTGTCATAGTGACAGGACATGTGGTGGCAGGAATGATAAATTGCTTGAAACAGAACAGTACCAGTGCTTTGGGTCCTATTTTCTGTACTTATTAAAAGTCATTATTGCGCCGAAACCAGTTTGGCTCAGTGGATAGAGCGTCGGCCAGCGGGTTTGATTCCGGTCAAGGGCATGTACCTTGGTTGCGGGCACATCCCCAGTGGGGGGTGTGCAAGAGGCAGCTGATTGATGATTCTCTCTCATCGATGTTTCTAACTCTCTATCCCTTTCTCTCTTCCTCTCTGTAAAAAAATCAATAAAATATATATATATTTTTAAAAGTCATTATTGTTCAGATGGCGTGGCTCAGTGGTTGAGTGTTAACCTATGAACCTCCTGGTCACACGTAAATTCCTGGTGAGGACATATGCCTGGTGTGGGGCGTGCAGGAGGCAGCTGATCTGTGATTCTAGCTCATCAATGATGTTTCTATCTCTCCCTCTCCGAAATCAATAAAAATATATTTTTACAAAGTCATTGTTACTTACCCTTTATTCTTTTTAATAAGAGTCTGATACAAAGAAAGGTCAAAAAATTTTTAAAAGAAACTGAGAAACAATTGTATAGTCAATGACTACATTATAATAAAAGAGACTGGAGGTCAATGGGGGGAAAAAGAGACATATGTACTACTATTTGTAATACTTTAAACAATACAAAATACAACAAAAGACACATATAAAGAAAAGATGGAAGCATAAACATCAGATGTAGGTGGGAAGAAGAGTTTGGCCAAGTACTCATCCAGCTTCCTAAGCCTTTGTCAAAAAGGATACGGATTTTCTCGGGAAAGCAGGTATCCAGGCAATCTATGATCTGCTGTAACTCTTCCTGCATTCCAGGGGTTTGGAACAGATCCTCCTACCAAAGAAGTCACAAGGAATGGAACAAAGCAAGATAATCCTAAGGTTCTGAAGACCACCCAGGGATCAGGAGAGCAGTGTGCACATTCATGATTAGGAATGGAGGTGTGACAATGGTGCCTGCTCTCTCTGTCATCTCTATAATTTGTGTAAAATCTTATTTCAAACCAGAATTTTATCTTCAAAAGTTTTAGCCAGTACCAGATACGGCAGAGGACTAGATCAGTGGTCGGCAAACCGCGGCTCATGAGCCACATGCGGCTCTTTGGCCCCTTGAGTGTTCTAATGCCACTGCTTCAAAATAGACTCACACAGGTAAAAAACCAACGTCTGTGAATGGACTATGAAGTTTCAATCGCACAGTACATGGTATTTTGTGGAAGAGCCACATTCAAGGGGCCAAAGAGCTGCATGTGGCTCACGAGCCTCGGTTTGCTGACCACTGGACTAGATGGCTAGATCAGGAAACCAGGTGTTCCCACTTCTAACATGTTGATAAGTAGAAGAGTCTAAACAGTAGAACCACATTCAAACACTGATACAGGTACCTTCATTTTCTGAAAGTTCATGTTATGCCACTTTACTTTTCTGAAAGAACTATGCTAGTATTTGCTTTCACTAACTGAAAGCAATCCGAAAACAAAAATAGCATTCAGTGTATGTTTTGAAGCAGGCTATTAAACAGGCATCCCACACCCAAGCAATGAGAGTGGCCTGGATAATCTCCTTCCCCACAAACCACACCCAGCATCAGCATCTCAGCATTAAGCCACCATAGCTTTGAATTGCCTGTAAGTATCTGTGCTTTATCTCCATTTGTTTATGCATTCCTGATTTTACTGTATGTTAGTGTTATTTGGTTTGCTTTGGTAGGTCATTTTTTAGGTCTGGGAACATTCAAAAATATTTTCCTATAAATTAATGGTAATTACTTCTTCATTTTACACCATTTTGGCTTAATGAAAGTTTTCATAGGAATGCTCCAGATAGTGGGGGAGACCTGTATTATGGAATGCTGGGACAGGAGTAAATGGTATGTCCACAGCAAACCTTGCCGCTCTTTTTGGTCCCAAGGGATTTCTCTTTTTGGGGAAAATAGGTTGGGGGTGACTAGCATATTAGATAGGATTTAAAAGAAAAATGAAGATCAAATTTAAAAAATGGGTTTGAAGTTTGCTTTAAACTTTAAAATCTGCAATGCCTACATGACAGCAAAAGCAGGCGTAACAGACTCAGGTACACAGTGGTTCAGGGGAAAGCATGTAGTCGGGAGACAGGCGTACTCAGTTCAGGACCCAGCTCTGCCACTACACTTATGCTCTGGTCTTACGTAAATCACTTAACCTACAAGCTTTAGCTCTCACGTCTGTCAATAGGGATACATCCATGTGCCCAGACGATCTGACAGTGCTGCTGTGTGGAGGTATCTTGGGACAGTTAATGCCCACCATCCAGAACTGAAATATCATTGCTGACATGTACACATAAGGAACTGTTTGACATTGAAATTGGGTCTCAAAAGAACTGGTGGCCAGAAAGAAACTCACTACAGACTGATTCATATGCCTTTCAGCATAATGATTATTGCTTGTTTCATTTTTGATTCTTATATTTCCAGTAGGACATGATCTCATTCATCTAGGGGAAATGGTGAACAACATAAACTGATGAACAAGAACAGACCCAGAGATAAGGAGCCATGGGTCATACTGTTGTACTTCAAAGGGAGAGTGGGGATAAAAGGGAGAGATCAATCAAAGGACTTATGTGCACACATATGAGCCTAACCAGTGGTCAAGGACAATAGGGGGGTGGGGGCATGAGTGGGGGAGTGGGGGATTGGTTGAGGACAAATATGTGATACCTTAATCAATAAAGAAATTAAAAAAAATAGATCCAGAGACAGAGAAACATAGATCAGACCATTAAAACTCAGGGAGGGTGGGATCAAGGGAGAGAGATCAACCAAAGGACTTGTATGCATGCATATAGGCTTAACCAATGGACACAGACACCAAGGGGTCAGGGCATGAGGGGACGATGGGGGAATAATGGCGGAATAAGGACACATATGTAACACAGTAATCAATAAAGAATTTTTTTTTTAAAAAAAGCTCTAGACTAATGTGAGGTATGATCATTTCCCACTGGACTCACCTACTTTCCAAAGTTGTAGAGAAGGCACATTCTCACTTACCTGGTGGCAGGCATATCTGAATAAGTGATCTACAAGAAGCCAGATCTCCTTGGGGACCTGAAGGGGTCTCTCACTTGTGCCTTCCTCCAAAGGAACCATCTGCAGAAGGGATTTCTCCTAAGAGATTAAAAAGGATGAGAATCAAAAGGGTCTCAATAAAAACTTTTGTCTAGTTACTCTCCAAATTCTGCTTATATGGGTACAACTTGGTCTTCATCTGTTAACATTTTTGTGTTTTTTTCCCTCTCACTGGAACACCTCTGATCAGAAGGTACTTGATACTGATTCGCACAGTTAAAGGATCTCCTTTTCTAGATGCTTCACTTAACCAATAAGCATTCCATTTGGGTTTATTAGGTTTATCACTTGGATGCATTGTGTGCTATAAACCCTTTCAAGGGTGACACTGAAAATCAGCACTCCAGCAATTTGGTCACGGTGGAGTCCACACACCACGAGAGACTTGTGGACCATTAAATTGCAGTTGTCAACATAGTACTCTGAGAGAGCAGGATCTACTTAGGTTTTTGTTGACTTTTAACTTATTCTTCTTTTAGGTTTTACCAAAAATATCAGAGTTTTCCTTGTTGATTTAAATGAGGTTCGCTGGTCCTCAGGAATTTAATACAATTCTTCACATTAGACCCACGTGCATGATTTCAGGCTTGACAAAAGGTCTAATCTTAAGGCACTAAAAGTTGTAAGCCTTAAGATCCAAAAATAGTAAACTGAAGACAGCATACCAAGAGACATAAATACAATGAAAAGTCTAGGGTCTGAGTCCAGAAGTTATTTTTTATATTAATAGCTCAGCAAACATTTCTTGGGGCTTTGACTCCTTTTACCTATCTTCCTACTTACTATCTGCTAATTTCTCCTGAAAGAATATAAAAGGAAAAACACAGAAGTGACATAAATTGGATTAATAACTAAATCTGATCTTGAAAATGGTGTGTGAATAAGCTCAATTTTCTTATGTTTATATAGTCAAATATAAATTATATCAAAAGATGTCTGAAATGGGTTAAAAGGGATCTGAAGGCAGCCTTCAGAAAAATCCCAGTGGAGAAAACAGTGACCAACTTTTTTGTATCTTTTCCCTATCCTCCTCCTCCTCCAGCTGATAGTCATATATTATGTATATTCAATTTTAGGAAATTCTGTAAATTCCATGTACAACACTCAAGCCATGTAGCTTTAAGGGAAAGGAAAGAAACATTTTACTATTTCCAGAGACTGTGTACACCAGAGCAGAGCTAAGGGCTTTTCTTAACATTTTGTTCTTCAATAAGCTCTGGTAACCTTTTTTTGTTTTATTCTGCTGCACTTTATTTTTTCCCTTCCATTTTTAAAATTAAGGTATTATATGTGTACATATCTTACCACTGCCCCCCCACCCGACCCCACTCCCATACATGCCCTCCACTGGTGACCTTTTTAAGCCCCCGTATCCTTCTGGGTGGGGGAGGGGGTGAGAAAGAGAAGGTAGCATGACAGCTGGTTGCCATTCAAAATCTATTTTGTTCACATTTACTTTGCTTCCTTTCTTTCTCCCCCAACCCCCAGGCTTCTATTGCTTTATTTTCACGTTCCTTAGAGCTGCCAGAACTTCTAACAGTGGCTCATCCTCTAACTTCTTTCTGGTTGCGAGTATTGAATCCAGGCATCCACATGTTACTTGAGCCAAAACACTGTCCATAATGCACTTTGCTCACTTTTTGGACCAAATGCAACACAAGTACAGGTTCTGTAGAAGATGCCACCGAACTTACCATATACAAATTATTCAGCACTGATTCATATACTCATAAAAAAAAACCTGGCATCCAGGCGGCACTAAGGCATTAAGGCAACACAGGCACTTTCCAAGATGAAAAGACAGAGCCTGGCCTGCTATTAACAGGAAAAGGCTGGGAGCAGAACTGTCATAATCCTTAGTGGCTTAAAAGGTTAATAAAATGTCAGTAGGTTATATACACCATCCATTATCTGTTTTAAAATTCCTGTGTGATAATACGAAATGTCACACTTGTGGTCTCTGAAGTCTAGAGAAAGTTCATGCATAAGAAATAACACTTTTTTGAAAGTCCACAAATTATCCTGAGCTCTTAACTTTCAAAGAGAAACCAGGCACATGTTGTCTTCTTTCAACGACACATTCAATATGTGACGAGCCCACACAATGTAAAGCTAGTGCTGATAACACACAAAAAACAGTACATCATCCCCACCACAAAAGGTCTTAACTGCACCAGATGTGGAGATCACATTGGTGACTGAGTGCTTTAAGAATGCTTTTCAAGCCCCTGTTTCTCTACTTGATAGCCCTATATGGAGCCAGGCAATCCCCAGCACAAGGAGGCCGAAAGCCACAAAAGGAGCACTTCTAGCCATTCAGGAAACCTGGTTCTAGTCTCCTTTGCCCCACATTCCTGACACCCTTGATGTCAGGAACAGTATGACTCCGGTGAGTTTTTCAATTGTACTAGGCCTTAGTTGCCTCAGCAACAGAATGGAGAAAGCACCTGATCCTGTCCGAAGGCAGAGATTGGGACCAGATGACCCCTTAGGAATTCCTTCAGCTCTGCTGGCTGCCGCACTGGCGTCTTACTGTCTTGTGACAGCTTTTAAATACGTCACTGCTTCCCATGTCATGAGCAGGCAGGAGCCATCTTCAGATCCACAGGTCCCAAGGAGAGTGCTGTGTTTCCCAGAAGAACACCTTCTGTCTCAGAGGAGTGCCTAAACATTTGATGGCGTCAGCACAGTTTAGATTAAGGAGGCATATAATTCATCAAAGTGTAAAAAAATCTAACAGGAAAATACTACACTGGAGAATAAGATGGCCAACTGTGGTGTGCGTGTTTAAGGCAGCTGATGGCCAGAGCAGGCGAGCCAAGAAAGGTGTGGAGGTGACTGCACATCTAGAGGAATTCACGTCCTGACCTTGATGGCTGAGCAGTGGGCAGCGGGTTTTCTTCCTCAAGGCCAGTGATACTTGAGATACCAGATGGCTTCATTTTTCAACTGTGGTCCAAAGAGAGGGTTGAGTTGGGCCAGAATTGCAATCAGCCAAAAGAGATAGCAGCAAATTGAACAGGTCACCACATGGTGATATCTCCCCAGTTGGGACCCTTAGGGATGAACCAGGGCACCAGGAGGCCGACGATGCTCCAGAACATGCTCATCACCATCAGAGGCACCGAGAAAACGCTGTATACCATGGTTGCCACTGGAGCTGCTAGCCTCTGCCCCACCACCGCACTTGGGTCCCACCTGGAAGACCCAAGTTACTCTTAATGCAAGTGTAACCCACTCTTGGTTTTCTTATCATTGGAAATGGAGGACAGCTAAGTGGCACCATCCTCTATCTTATGAGTATTCAGATGCATAAACAGCTCTTTAGTTAGTTCTCATTTCAAAAATACAAGTATGGAACCTTGAGTCCTATTGCTTTTATGTCCTGGGTCTCAATGACTTCACTGGTAGTAAGTATCTTTCCTGTACCACAGACACACTAACAGCCAGCTCTGGGGGATTTTCACAGAGCCAGAGGTCTCTGAAATGGGAAAGCCTAGGGACAAATTCCAAGGACCACAGTTAAATGTTAATCAAGCACAGGGAAACGCACAGATTGCATTACCTTTTCTAGGAAGCTGTCTTCTTCCTGAGAGCAGAGCAGGAAAAGAAAGTCATTGACAGATAGAAAATTGTTAGAATTAATTTACAGAATTAGAAACAGATCAGTATTATTAGAACTCAACTAGCTTTAAACAGTTTTCAATTCTCCAAATATCATGATTGAAAATGAAACAATTCTCATATGCAAAGTTCTCTGTTATGCATATTGAATTTTTGTGCTGTTTACTGAGACTATCACTAAAGAAACATTCATATGCAGTTCTAGATTTCTGTGTCCTTTGGCAGCTGCCAGCTGACCTGGTCGGATGCCCCTGATGTTTCCTTCTCCCAGGCTGCCTGGAGGCAGGCCCTGCTGCTGCACTGTGCAGCTTCTTGCTTCACCCTAATGCAGAGGTGGGGAACGTCCGGCCTGCAACCTATATAAGCTCCTTGAAATCATTTGGTCTGGTCCTGCCAAGGCATTAGGGGTGAGTTAATTAAATGTTTGACCAAATATAGCAGCCTAATTTTTAAGCTGATAATTTTATATGACCTGTAAGTGATGTTATATCTAAATGCCCGTTGGCAATAAAAAAAAAAAAAAAAAAAAAGGTTCCTCCATCCCTGCCCTAATGCCACTTCAATGGAAAAATCTGGTTGTAAGCCTGATGGTGGTCATTCAATCTGGTTGTAAGCCTGATGGTGGTCATTCCCTTAATGGTAAGTTTCTCTCCTCTCAATTGCCATTCCTCTCACCCTGGATAGACATACTCCTTTCCATCTCCTCATATCCACCCCCTCCTCAAAGGACTTTAGAGTCCTCAAGTATGGAGGTCCCTCTGTAATGTAAATTAATATTATTTCAGATATTTGCGGGCCAGAACACCCATCTTTACCCCTGTTGTGTTTATCCTATAGGATATAAGAGAAAAAAAGAAAAGCAGGGCAAAGGGAAGAAGCACTGAATTAAAAAGCTTTCTAAGCATCTGTCTTTTGTGTTATTATTACAATCCAATAACAGAAACAATAACTACAGAACCACCACTTAAGGAGCTTCTGCCATATAGTGGGAACTGTGCAAAGTGCTCATACACAATGTCATTTACTCTGCACATGTGTGCAAAGCAGGTATTATCCCCACTTTACAGATGAGGAAACTGAGGCTTTGAGACGATTAGAACTCAGGTCTGACTCCACAGTCATTACCACTATGCTCCCTTAGACAACTCAAAAAGGACAATCTGACTGCTTCCTGGGCAGAGAGGCAAGGAAAAGCGGCGAGAACATATTCCACTTCATAGCAGGCTAAAGACAGTGAGAAACCCTAGTTACAAGGCAGCATAGTTAGCAGAAAGAGTGCAGGCATTGGTGTTAGTCCTGGGCACAAATCTCTGTTCTCTTATTAATGTTGTACAGACCTTAAGCAAGTTACTAAACTCTGTAAATCCTTAGTTTCTTCATCTCTAATACAGGGATAACAAAATTTACCTCATAGGGACAGAGAAGTAGCCTAAACCCAGCGGTGGTGGGACAGTAGGCCAACAGAAGACTTGGGTCCCTCAAAGCTCCTCCTACCTGCCCAGCACCTCCCAACAGGAATCCTTCCAATCATGCCATGGGCCACCAAGAACTCGAGTATAACCCTAGCCGGTTTGGCTCAGTATATAGAGCATCAGCCTGCGGGCTGAAGGGTCCTGGGTCCGATTCTGGTCAATAGCATGTACCTCAGTTGCAGGCTTCAGGGCGAGTGCAGGAGGCAACCAATTGATGTTTCTCTCACATTGATATTTCTTTCTGTCTTTCCCTCTCCCACTCTCTCTAAAAATCAATGGAAAAATACCCCCAGTTGGATTTAAAAAAAAAGATGTTAAAAAGCAAACAGATATGCAAACAAATCCTTGGTGAGAGGAAAAAAATGAAAAGTCAGAATACAAATACACATTGAATAAATCTTGATATTAGAATTTTCTCATAAAAAAAAAAGCAAACAGATAAATAATAATTTAAAAAAAACAACTCGAGTATAAATCACACATCTAAGGTCTAATAGTAAAAGGAGAAATCTCATCTCCTGTTGCTATCAGAGATGTGCTGGGACTGTGGGAGCGACAGAGTATGTTCTCTGGCATTTCGAGTGGTAATGCTGAGTGCATTCCCCTGCAAAGGACTACAATATACGGCGGGTAGGCTGTTAGTATTAATTGATATATTATGAATTAAACATTCTTTTGTGGGTTTACCTGGGCTTTTAAATACCACATATAAAATGAAATAAAAATCAGAGTAACAGTGCTTCATAAAGTATATAGTATTTATAATATTACTAGAGGCATGATGCACAAAATTTGTGTGGGGCTAGGCCCTTGCAGCCAAAGTGGTTACCTCAGTGGCTGCCTCAGCCCTTACAGTCCTGGCTTCGTCCTGAAGGTTGTTCAGCCATCCAGTCTAATTAGCATATTACACTTTTATTATTTGTGGATGGAGGGGTGTTCCTTAGCCTGGCCTGCACCTTCTCTAATCTGGGACCCCTCAGGGGATGTCTGACGACCGGCAGTCAGATATCCCTCTCGCAATCCAGGATGACTGGCTCCTAACCACTTGCCTGCCTGCCTGCCTAATCACCCCTAACCCCTCTGCCTGCTGGCCTGATCACCCCTACTTTACCTCTCTGCTGGCCTGATTACCTCTACCTTGCCTCCCTGCCGGCCTGATCACCCCTACTTTGCCCCCTGTCTGCCTGATAGCCCCTACAATCCCCTGCCAGCCTGAACTTGCCTCTAACTGCTCTCCCCTGCTGGCTTGATCACCCCTAACTGCCCTCCCCTATTTGCCTGATCTCGCCCCCAACTGCCCTCCCCTGCTGGGTGACCTCGCCCCCAACTGCCCTTCCCTGCTGGCCTGATCACCCCTAACTGCCTCTGATTTGGCCCCCCACCACCATGGCTTTGTCCAGAAGGAAATCAGATATCTGGAAGATGGCTGGTCAACCCGGTCTAATTACCATATTACCTTTTTATTAGTATAAATTATATAGGATAGGGTTGCTTAAATTGGGGGGAGGAAGCCTTTTCAGTAGGAGGAGATGCTCTTGGCAGACAAAAACACATAATCCCCCTATCTGGACTGATAATCAGCCATATGCATTATACTGCCAAACTGGTCATTAAAAAATTGAATCACTTTCTTACACCTTACACCAAACAGCTATTGCCCTTAAAATTCCACCTCAGCCCCTACCTTAGGTTCTGCCTTCACAGTTTATCCAGATTTGGTTCTGACTGGTCGGTTTCTATGCCAGTCAGCATCAAAAGCCCCACCTCCTAGGCAGCCATTGGCTCCTCACACTTCACCCAAATTTGGTTCTGATTGGTTGATTTCTATGCCAGTCAGCATCTCCGGGCCTATCTCCAGGCCTGATCAAAGAGGTGAGGCTGTTCAGCAGTTGTCCCAGGCTGCTGGCGAGCAGGTTAAACTGTTGACCTCTGGGAGAGAGAGGCTTGGCTGCTGGTGAGGCCCGGAGAAAGAAGCAGGGTCTGATCAGCCTGCTTCTCTCTCCGGGTCTCGCCAGCATTTGCAGCTGCTTCTGATCAGCCCTCCTCTCTCTTTCTCTCTCTGAGAGGTCAGCAGTTCAGTCTGCGCACACAGCCTGGTGTTCAGTTGAGCCTCCGTTCATTGTGGATTTTACAACCCGGGTTCTTTATATAGATAATTGTAATACCTTTTAATTTCAAAGTTAATTCAGAGTGCCAAACATCTAATTTAACACAATTTTGGAGCAGAAACTTTTAAAAAATGTAGAGTAATTATAAGCAAAATAGAGACAGACTCATAGAGTACAGGCTGACAGCTGTGTGTGTGTGTGAGGAGGGGGGTATGGGATGGATGTGTGGAGGGTTTGAGCAAAAAAAAGAAAGAAAATATTCACATACTTGGACAATAGTGTGATGATTACTAGGAGGAGGGATGGTAAAGGGTGGTGGAGGAGAGTAAAGGGAGGGGGATAAATGGTGACAGATGGAGACTTGACTTGTGGTGATGAACACACAATACAGATGATGTGCTGTAAAACTGTGTACCTAAACCTATATAATTTTGTTAACCAGTGTCACCCCAAAAAATTCAATAAAAATGAAAACAAGTATAGACTACTTAGTAATAGAGAATTAGCTTATCTGACACACTCAATTTTCTCTCCCATGAATACATGCCACATGATATGATGAGTAAAACTAGGCAGAGTTGTTATATATTAACCTTCAAACCAAGCCCTCAAAGCAGTTTTCTTTGAGCAGCAACCACTAGCAGTACCAGGCACTGTGCTAATGCCCGTGGGGGGTGGGGAGGAGGAAAATGAGGCCATAGGGAAGAAAGATACAGTCCCTCTCTTGGTTTTACAACTGAGTTGGGGTGAGAAGTCCCAGAATTTATGGCCTGATATTGTTATAATTTACAAATATGAGTTCTCAGTAAGTGGTTAAAACCAACAAACAAATAAAACAGCATTCAAAGGAAGGAGAAACAGCTTTCACCTGGGAAAGTTGGGGGACATTTCACAACAGAGATGGGACCTAACTAGCCCTTGAAGGATTCACAGAGTGTTAAAAGGTAGCAATGGAGCCGAAACTGGTTTGGCTCAGTGGACAGAGCATCGGTCTGCGGACTGAAAGGTCCCAGGTTCGATTCTGGTCAAGGGCATGTACATTGGTTGCGGGCACATCCCCAGTAGGGGGTGTGCAGGAGGCAACTGATCGATGTTTCTCTCTCATCGATATTTCTAGCTCTCTATCTCTCTCTCTTCCTCTCTGTAAAAAATCAATAAAATACATTAAAAAAAAAAGGTAGCAATGGAGTGAGGACATTACAAGTGTAGGGGGCAGAAGTACACAATGAGTGCAGAGAAGGTAAATAATGAGGTGAGGTTAGGGAAAATTTAGCAGATTTGTGAAGAACATGGGAAAATGTTGACAAAAACAGTGGGAAATAAATATGAAAAGGTGCCAGGACCGGTTTGGCTTAATGGATAGAGCGTCAGCTTGGGGACTGAAG